CGCATTCATTTATTATTGCCAATTAAATCATGCTTAATCCTTTGTGGAATTTGTTTCGAGGAAATAAGTGTTTAAGATTTACTTCGTAATTATTAATAGAGATATTTTGAGTTTTTATGTATTTTTGCCTTCTCGCGAAGTGAGAACTGAATTAATTGAATGAGAAATACTCAATCGTCTGTGAAAAACTGTTTCTTTTTTGTTTTGCTTGCTTAATTTCTTTTATACATCGTTCTAGCTTTATTATAGTATTTGAATAGAACATGTGGCAACGATTAGATAATTCTATTCTTTAAATGATATAAATTTTTTTGCATTTTGAGTTATAATATGAGCGAAATATAATACTGTTAAGTGAACCTAGCGCCAGAGTGTCGCTATGGTAAACAAAGTGAATTTTAAAGAATGCATTTATTCTATTGTGGTTTATGCGCTGTCGGCGAAGTAGCTTTATTTCAATCCAATAAGTTTAAATGAAATGCAAGAAAAAATGCGTATAATTTAATATTCCGTATAAGTCATGTGATGTACACATCAGATTTTTTTTAAATCCAAGTTTACTCGTTATAATTATGCTGGATATCGCATATTTTATTTGATGGAGGGGGACATAGGTACAAGAATCTGAGAGTAATCTTTAACGCTGATGCTTTGCTGAATGAAACCTTACGATAGACGATAAATTCTTGCATTGTACGTGCAGTACACTCTTGATTATCCTGCCTAAATGCCGGGTAAATAAGTTACGAATAATTGAAAAATACGGATAATCCAAACTATTAATTTTCATGCATAGTCTATGTGTTTATTTCTCAAGAAAATTCAGTAATTTTACTTTTTTTCTGAGAACGTTTAAATGTTTGTCTAATTTCACTGTGTGCTTTTCAAAGTGCTATTTTATCGTTGTATTCGAATCCCCTTTGGTCAAAGAAGTCTAGTAGAGTTTCAGTAGAAGTCATTGCTGTCTCGGAATAAATGTCCTCATCAGTATCTTCTTCGCTCGTGTTTTGAGTATCACTCTCTGCCTCTTCTGCCTTGTACCATTTGAAACAACAAACGCAATCATTCAAACATTAAAAGCCCGGCTCAGTCGAAAAGCCATCGAACCATTCCTCGATATTTTCCCGATCGATATATTTGAAGAATTTTACATTTTTAATTTTTTGGAATGCAATTCAGTTATTGCTTCCACTTATTCACAATTAAATAAATCGTATCTGTTCAGAATTTCTTCATCAGAAAGTCTCTTCCTCCATATCCAGACTTACACGTGCTTATTTGTTACACATTCTCGGGCACAGCGTTGAATGCGCGAATAATTGAGAGTACGCAAGAGTTGTATTCTCATTTTTATTAAATCCTAATCCCAATCTAGGAGTCATTAAAAATTTCCAGAAAAAACATGTTCAGGCATAAATTTTTACGAAGCGAGTACAGTAGAGTAAGGTTTTAAGAGGGTATAGTTTAATATTTTATGTTAAAAAATTGTAGGATATTTAATCTAATTTTTAGTTTATTTAATCTTAGTTTGTTACTCTGTGTGATTTTCTTCCATGCTTAAGAAGTATTCACTATTAATAATGGTAATGACGCCTAATTCCATTGTATTCTTAAATGAGAGAATTCCCCTACTACTATTAATATTTGTTAATTTTATTTGTGATCCTGAGGCTTCCGCTTGAAATTTTATTTAGAATAGCATTAACTTGCGGTTAAAATTTTTCGTGAGCAAAATTTTAATATTGACACAAAATTTATTTATTGACTATAATTTAAGATTTAAAAATGGTTGAATGATTTTAAGGTAAGTTGAATGGCTTCAGATTTTGGGACCACTAGGAAGAAAAGCCAGATCATCTCGAGAGACAATGGTTTGCTTCAGGATAATGGCAGGCCGTATGGTACTGCTTTAGCATTGACAGCATCGTTTTTTAAATCGATGGGGCAACACTAAATACACTCCATATAGCCCATACATAGCGCCAAGCGATTTCTGAATGTTTTAAAATAATTTTCAGTAAAAGAAATGAAAAACATCGAGGCCTGAGTATTGAAAGAAGGGTCACAAAATTGTCTATGATTTGTTACTTCATATAACATGGCAAAAATGTTATTCAATGTGGAAGACTGAAGAAAAGAAAAAACACATGGCCCATAGTATTTTGAACCGGAATAAAAAAAAATCTGATGTGATACTTAACTTCCATGCACGGCCTATTAAATTATACTTTTTTTCCTGCATTTCATTTAAACTTTCTTCGTTGAATTCTTAACTCAATTAAATGATCATGACAAGTTGAAAATGGCATCAAAATCTGCAAATTTTGATATTAAATATCCCAGCCAATTTTTGTCACAGGGAAGTCAAACTTTCTATAATATTATTGTTTCATATTGCGAAAACATGAATGTTTTCGTCATTTAAAACACTTTTATAACTGGAAGTACGTGATTACGACCAACGAATGCGAAAATATAGGCCGATTAAGGATTTTTGAGTCCCTTGAAGTGGTGGGTTTATATATATATATATATACGTTTGATACTTCCGATTGCAATAAAAAAGTGAGGTGCACAACGGGATGTTACAGCAGTCTCATATACAAAATTTCAACGTTTTACGGCTAACCGTTTTCGAACTGTACGAGATACATATACGTAATCGGGGAAAAAGAAATCCCTCTTGAATCCATTTTACAATCCGTTTTATGAAAAAGAGTTCTTTATTCTGTCCGTACGTACAGATATCACGCAAAAAATCGTCCAAAATAGGTTCGGGAACGGCCAAAATAGATATTTCAGTTGAAATATGATACCCGAAATTTTTGCTGTTACAATATTTCCTTTATCTCATACAAGGAAGTCAAAATCAATTAAATATCTTTAAACCTTTTAATTAACTCACGTACATTCTGCGGAAAGTACTTTGAGAATGCAGTGATATTTTCTAAAGCGAAATATTTTTTCTCCTGCGCTCTGCGTTAAAAGTTTACAATGTAATATACTGAAGTTAAAGTGTGTCATCAATAACGCAAATTATCTTACCAAGATGGTTCCAAAAAGGCAATGAGAACAGGACTGTTTGTAATGTTTTCCAAAATTTTCATTTAATGAATAAACTATAAAACGCATTTTTAATTTAATATCTTTATTCGAATTAAAATGCTTCACTTTTTTATTACCAGTCTAAATTATAAAAAATGCAATAAAATATACAAATTTTAATAGCTTCCTTTATGATTTCAGTTTGTTTCAGTACGGTTCGTTTAAATTAGCAACAAATATGTACGCCGCAAAATGCTACGTACTATCCCTTTCCCCGCCTTATACACTGGTGTGCAAAAATTAAGCACGAGACGGTTTTTTCAATATAACTTTGTACAAAAGCTTTCCAAATCAACACATTTAATATCGTAAGATCCCCAATACGTGAGGACATGAGTAATGTAAGCAACACTTATTAAAAGAGAAATCAGAGGGATAAAAAGAAGCTTTATTGAAAAAGTAGCATGGAGCGCAATGCGACTGAAGGCCGAAACATCCCTGTGATGGGTGTCCAGCAAGAAACATCCAGTCTTTAATAGGGGATATGATCTCCCCTGACTTGCTAGGCAGGTTTCACAGCGTCTGCCCATGCTGAGAATGAGGATGTCAATGAGTTGTTGAGGCATTGCTGCCCATTCGTCTTGCAGCGCCAATCGAAGCTCCGGAATCGTTAGTGGTAAGGTACGAGCTGCCAAGCGTCTGCCTAGAAAATCTCATACATGCTCGATGGGATTGAGATCCGGAGATCGTGCCGGCCAATCCATACGTTCAATATCCTCACTCTCTAAGAGCTGTTCAGCAGCTACTGTGCGATGACATGGTGCATTGTCGTCCATGAAAAGGAACTGCGGACCCATAGCGCCTCTAAAAAGACGCACATATGGAAGAAGAATCTCGTTACAATAACGGGTCCCGTTGACTGAACCTGCGTCGAAGATGTGAAGGTTTGTACGACTACCAAGCATGATGCCTCCCCAAACGAGAACACCGCCACCTCCATACCTGTCCCTTTCAATGATGTTCGAGGGATGATTGCGGCTTCCCCGCTCTCTCCAGATGAGTATGCGATGAGAATCGCTACTCAGACTGAATCTGCTCTCATCTGTAAAGAGTACTCGTCCCCATTCATTGTCTCTCCAATTCCGGTGTTCCCGGCACCACAGAGAACGCCTTCTCCGATGGGCAGGCGTTAGAGGTACACACCGCACAGGGCGTCGTGCAAACAGACCACCACCGTGCAGTCTTCTGGCCACGGTAAAACGCGATATCGGTCGTCAGTCGCCTGTGTCGTGTGTCTAGCGATTTCTCCCGCTGTCTGCCGCCTGTTTCTTCTGGCCTGTAAGGCAATATACCGGTCATCTGCGGTAGTGGTTCCTCGTGGACGACCTCTACTAAACTCCCGGATAGCTGTTCCTGTAGTTTGAAATTGTCTCCAAAGTCTTGATGAAATTATCTCCAAAAACGATGCTGTGAGCAATTCCGAACTCTGCAGCCACACTTGTCACACTGCGGCCTTCCTCCAACTTCCCAATAATTCGACCTCGGGTAAAAGCATCCAGATGTCGTCTAACAGATTGATTATTCGCCATTTCTCGCTGAGGCAGCAACTCGGTGTGATTTTAACTGCTATACGGCGTGCAATCTCTTTGCCAGAAATACTGATCTTACACTGACAACATGCTTTATACTACTCAGACACTCCCCCATTACGTCTACCTGCATTTCTGCGCATGTGCTACCGTACATCACCTTACTTAATCTCCTGATTGGTCTTTCTGTCCGCTCTGCCTCTTCGTTCAGCTGATATGCTAATTTTTCGACTTCGTCCTTAATTTCTGCACACCAGTCTACAGCTACCATTATCCTAGTCTAAAGCTGTTTGTTTCATTATAATCACTGTTTGGAATTTTGCTCTGCACTTGATGATTAATTATTTAATGTCTTTTTGCTATGAATAATTTTTTGCTATGAATTTTTAGGTGGTCCTGGATCCGGTAAAGGCACTCAGTGTGAAAAGATTGTTCAGAAGTATGGCTTCACTCACTTATCGACAGGCGATCTTTTACGAGAAGAATGTAACTCGGGTTCGGAGCGTGGCGCGAGATTGGTTGATATCATGAAAAAAGGACAGCTGGTACCTAATGTGAGTATGTGAGAAATAAAGTCAACATTTTCCTAAATAAATAATCTTCCTCCCCACAGCTAGAATCACACACCGCTAGCCGCCGATTTATTGGAGCATCACACTGTTGCAGTCCGATGACGTAACTTAAAGTTTCTAAAACAGCTTGCCGTTCTAAAGGCTGTTTTGTACCAACGGCAAGTGTGATGATGATTGAGATCATCCTTTCAATATAATATAAAACTCTATAATTAAATGTTTCGCCCCATGCACCTCTTTTCCTATTACTAGAAGATCATTCCCCCTCTCTTCTCGAAAAATATATATGCATTTATTAAAGTTTGGATTATTTTAACGTATTTTTAAAAATTAAACAAAAAATACAGATACATAACAAACTTAATAAAAGTAGTTTTTTAAAATTCTTCAACTAAAATTAATGCTTAACAGCTAAATAAAAGACCGACTCTATATTCAGGAACGTAGCTAGGGGGCAGCAAGGGGGCACATTTGTCCCCGGGCGCAGCATCCAGGGGGTGCCAAATTAACATTAAAAAATTTTAGAATGAAATGTTTTACATTCTTAGCAAATAGGAGGGGGGTGGCGAAATCTTCAATTGTCCCCGGGCGCTGGAAGGTCTAGCTCTAACTGTATTCCATCGTGGTTAAGAACCCCGACTCTAGTCTGGTTGTTTCTCTCGCTCTTCTGCGAAATGAGAAAGAGTTAAACTTCCATCGAGAGAATTTCTGTATTTATCATTTACGATGGTGGTTATTGGGAAGCTGATAAAAACCCGACAATGATATAGTAAGCTAATTTCATTTGAGGCAGAAATACTTTTCCACAGCTAATTTATTCTTAGGTTCTAGTGGAAGCCTGTCAACGCATGTGCCAAGTTATTTCTTTTCATCTGAAAGAAGAGAGAGACGGGAGGGAGGGGTCTGCTTTCCTTTGCTTATCCAGTTACGTTCGCCCATAGTGTCCGAGCATGAAGCGATAACAAGATTTCGCTGTAATCCATTCACTACGTGGTATTTATTACCATAATAGTTTGAATTGAACATTTGAGATAACTTTTATGTGAGCAGGGGTAATGATAAATTGTATGAGAATGTAAATGCTGTCTGATACATGAGAAACAATTGAAGATGTGTCGAATATGTCTTATGAAGATGAGTTTGCTTCGGAAGAGTTTCCTCACAAATGAAGTGTCTTTTTCAATTCGAAAGATGTAGTCGATCAAATACTACTTGAAAAAATTTCGACATTTCTAAATAAATCGGATAAATTTCCGTATTGTGTTTTATACTTCATAAAATTACAAATATGCAGAATTATAGATGTCGCATGATGTTAAATTGATCAGGCAACTTATCTTGAGGTTTTGTTAGATAGTTTTGTTTGTTAGAGGTTTTGTTTAAAAGATTTTGTTACATCTGGTGGAGTAGTCCTACTTGTCTATATAGATACACATATGTGCATGGACAAATATCACCACTCTATATGCATATGTATATATGGGTATATAAATCATCCGGCCCGAATGGTGTCAACGAAATCCTTTTCTTTGATGTTAGAGGTAGGAGAAATTTAACCCTTTCGGGCTGACCTATCAAGAATTCGACGGCACTGTGTTTTTGAGACGATGTGTTCTTGTTGTGGCTACTGTCACATGTCTGACCTAATCAGAACAAGTGTACAAATTTTATCGTGGCAAGGAATCCAGGATATGTCGTTGCATAAATGTTCAGCACGTGGCAGATGACTACAGAGAATCTTGCACCCGTCTTACTCTACCACCAAACCACTCGAGAGGACTTTCGGTCTCACGTATATTTTGATTGCCCCCATCCTGCACAGTCTCTATACGCTTGCAAACATTCTCAAGAATTCGAGCCCAAGCACGGTAGTCAGCGTTATTAACCACTATCCTATCTAAGCGGCTCGTGAAGATGTAAATACAAGAATCGCCTGATATTACATAGCTTTTTATGAAAGTATTGAGATACAGGAATTTGTAGATACTGAGAAATATATTTAGTGCAGAAACGGAAACAAAAAAAATCTAAATTTTATTTTTTATAAGTTTTTAAAGTTCGGTAAATTTTGAAATAAGTTCATTTTACAATAGTAATTAGTTTGGCATCTTGCACATTATGTTTTCCTGTTACAATGCAGAACCGTTTCCTTTTCCTGGCATTCAGAATGTACACCAGTTTGTTTCCAAGTGTATTCATAGAACAGGATGAAAATCACCTCTGCATTGATCGATAAGAAGATTTACAAATTTACAAATTTCGGATACAAAGCAGGTTGATTTTTTTATATACATCTTTATATGCAAATTATATTTTGCATTGATTTTTATGCCATTTTAACTGAAAATTTTTAAGAAATAAGCATTTTTTCAAAAGGTTTAACTTGCGTATATTTATCTTGTATAACCTATAACAAACTTTAATGGGTACTTACTTATTCTGCAACCACTTTGACGCAATCAGGCGATTTTTTGCAGATCAAAAGGTAAAAATTATCTATTGTCTGTAATCATCTAACTATAGCTTGCAAGTCATTACTATCGTCACTGTTGTCATAAACTTCTTCACCGTTCTGTCTGTCTGTGCAAGAGCCTCAGATATCCCCTTTCTTAAGCTCTTCACTGTAATTACTTCATTAGTCAGATCCCATGCACCTAAAATCCACGAGCAAATCAATTAGTAAGACGAAGACAACCATTACATGGATGAATTCATTATACATTTTAGGAGAGTTAGCTTTCGGAACTCGTTGAAAAAAGGGGAAAATACGTGCACATTTAACGAATTTTCATAACCTTGCTCTAAGAAAAAAGAAAGGGGAGAAAATACGCGAGTTAAATTACGATATTTATTAATCTATTCTTTGCTAGTTACAACCTAAAATAATAAAGCAAACTAAAAAGATTGCTTATCGCACGATATTATACAAAATACAAGATGAGGTGATCTGCCTTCTTTCCTAAGTTTCCGACAACATCTGAATTTCAAAACTACAGCACTTAAGTCGCATACACTATATCTAAACTTCGTAAAATAACTTGTTATGGCACACCTTTATCCATCCGCTATATCTACCTACGCGTTAACCTTTATCCATCCGCAAACACAGCAGGAAATTATCATCCTTTCCTGTAACCTGAGAAGTGGTCATTTTGCAAAGTTATCATTCTGTTCACTGTAGAATCACATCTCCCGCAGAATTTATTTCTGCTTTGAATTTTTCCTCGCGATAACTTTATTATTTGCACTCCCATTTTATGCCACATGCCAATGAGCCTATTAACCGTAAAATCTTTCCTCTCCGCTATATGTTTTAGTGTTGTAGAGTGTTCATAAAAAATATAAAATACCCAAAAAAAATTAAAAAAAAAAAAAAAAGATTAAAAAGTCTAAAAACTTATAAAAAATACGTATTCTTAAGTTTTATAAATTCTCGCTATCCCTAACCTTTCTCGAGCCATGTGGCTACCTCTAGTGAGCATCAAGTTTAATACTTATGCAATTTTCCTATTTCTGCTCGCTTTTATATAATTATGATGAGAAGGTACATGATTTTGAAACATAGGCACTCCGTAATTTTTAATCATTGGGATTTGAAGCAGGAAATTATACTCAATTAGACGCAACGACTACGAAACGCAGATTCTAATAAAGGGCCGTTCCCACTGGGGTTTATTTGAGCTAACGGCGACAGTTCCATGTGTCGACTAGCTCCGTTGTGCCTGCAGTTCAGATTTTTCAGCTTGCTGCCCTATGGGAAAAAACTGGTTTTGGAGAGGGGTCGGCTACGTCACTTGTGTTCATTAACTCAGATAAACCACAGTGGGAACGGCCCTTACAGGGTTATGAAATTAAGATTAACCTTCAATAGCAGTAGTGGCAGAATGAGTAAAACCGTTAAATAGTGGTTGTACGGCTATTGTGAACAAACTGGCTACAGGTTTAAGTTTTCTTATATGTGAAGAGAATACGAAAACCATTTTCCCTTAGAAAGTAGTCCATAAAAACATCCCTCCCTTTTAATAGACAGTCCTCGTGTGCTTTGCCATATTTAAGACAAGCCGCTAAGCAGCCAGACTTTGTCTAGCTTTTGAATGTACCGGAAAATGCCTAAAGGGAACACCAAACATTAAATTTAAAAACTGCACAGTTTTATTCTGCAGAACAGCTTAATCAAAAACAAACAAACAAAAAAAAATTCATTAAAAATGTATTATATATATTAAAAAAATCACAAGTATCAAGAAATTAAGCAATATCCCATAATACAAATATTAATTATCCTAATAAATAAATTAACCAACTTCCCGTAGCAAAATCTTAAGAATTCAAATGGTATAAAGGAAGTTAAGAACCAATTGACGTTCGTTACCAATTGACCAATTGACTTTGTTTCCTAAAAAAATCATGCAAAACTTTTCAATATCTTAAAAACAGTGAAATAAGCAATAAATAATATGAAAGAAACACACACAAAAAAACCAAAAAATTCTGAAAAGGAAAGTATAATTAATATTTTATCTCATATTTTCAAGAGAAAACAGTCAGCAGTCCAGTATACAAAGCATTGCGAGAAAGTCTATGTTTGTTCGCTAATAACTCAGTCACTACTACAGCTATCGTCACCAAGCTTTCTACAATTCCTTTATGGGTACTGGAAAAGTTCGGCGTTCACTTTTTTTCCAAAAAAATAAAATAAAATCAGAGATATTAACTAAACACTCTTAAAACGCTAATTTTAGCCCTCATTTTTCCAAGTGGCAACAGTGCTGATATCAGTAACAATGGCAACAGGGGTACATCAGCAACAATGGCAACAGGGGTATATCAGCAACAATGGCTGCTGCGTGCCATTGTTGCTGGTATATCCATAATGTCTGATGCGATTTCATCAAAAAACATAAAATTACAAAAAAATATATATCATACGAATTTTGAAAAAATCGTTACACTTACTAATACAGTTAAATCGTATACAGTTA